TTGAAAAATAGGTTCAGTTCATTGGCCCGGTCCACACGGCCCTCCAACCCCATGCCACCAGTCTTCTGGAACCCAGTGATGGTTCTCATGCCACTCCACACATCCCTCATGTTGTTTCGCTGGAGTTTTTCCTCCAGCTTTCTCCTGTACTTGTCTTTTGCCTCCCTGATTTTGAGTTTGAGTACCCCCTGCACTCTCCTCACCTCATCACGGTTGCCATCTCTGAATGCCCTCTTCTTCTCATTCAGGATGGCCTTGATGTCCTTAGTGATCCAAGGTTTATTGTTGGCGTAGCAGGTTACAGTCCGAGCTGGGACATTGCAGTCCACACAGAAGTTTATATAGTCTGTGATGCACTCTGTGAGCCCATCAATGTCCTCCCCACGGGGCTGACAGAGTGCAGGCCAGTCAGTCACTTCAAAGCAGCCCTGCAGTGTCTCATAAGCCTCCTCCGACCACCTCCTCACAGTCCGTGTGGTCGTAGGCTTCCTCTTCACCAGAGGCACATAGCAGGGTTTGAGGTGAACCAGGTTGTGATCTGACCTGCCCAGAGGGGGGAGAGAAGAGGAGGTGTATGCATCCTTAATGTTAGCATACATCAGGTCCAGGGTCCTCTCCTCTCTGGTAGGACAGCTCACATATTGTTTGAAAGTCGGCAGAACTCTATCCATGGTGACGTGGTTAAAGTCTCCCGACATGATGATGAGGGCACTGGGGTGTTGAGTCTGTAGTTTGGAGATGGTGGTGTAGGGATAGGGATAGGGATGTATGATGCTGCAGGCATGTGTTGGGTTTGCAGAGGGAGGGATGTACAGGACAGCGATGATGACATGCGGGACCCGGGTTACACCATCTGCTGTTTACTAGAATGACAAGCCCCCCTCCTTTCGGCTTACCGCTCTCGGTATCCTGGTCCGCCCGGACGGTGTGGAAGCCATCCACGGAGACGATCTGGTCCGTAATGTCCCTGTGCAGCCATGTCTCTGTGAAACACATCAGACTGCACTCACGGTACTCTGTGTGGCTCCGCGTCAGCGCCGTTAGCTCGTCCGTTTTGTTGCTAAGGGACCGTCCACCACTTTGGAAGGAATCCCAAAGACTTACAACAACAATAAACGAATACCTGCACTACATTCCCATCAGGCTCAGCTGGACTTTGGGGTAAAGTAGCAAATGTTTGCATGCTAACATGCTGAAGTAAGCTGGTTCATGCATCATGACTTCCGCCGGCCGAGCTGCTAACTCCCGGTTTAGCCTTCCGCTAACTTTAATGTAGATACAATTATTTAATCTTGTGGCTCTTCTAGATCTTCCGAATGTTATCGGACCAAATGGATCAAATTTACAAAGTGAAACAGGTCATTTTGCAGGGGTGTTGATGCTAAAAAAATATATCTGCCATTTTACAGCCGGGTCTTTCACAATGTAAGCTTTTCGGAAAAGTCTTTTTGGCCAACGTACATCTGGTGATAGATGCCATTGCTGTAATTACACGGTTCGGCCACTACGTCACATTGGCTTAAAAGCCCGGCCCTCTTCCTGTTAGCTTTAACATACCCACTAAACAACAGCACTTTAGCATTGTCACTGCAAGTGTGTTAGCATGTTTATATGTATATGTATATGTATATGTAGACACTTAATTCTTGTCAGTTGAATGAGGCGTTTTGAAGATAAGGGATTCTGAATGTCAAAACAACTGTTTCTAAAGCACAAGAATGACCAGCTGGCTTCTATAGTCACTATGTGTTGTGTTTGGGGAGTTTGGATACAGGAATATTATCCTAATAAGACACTTTCCAGTTCATAAACAGTTTATTGCAGTGGTTCTTCCCTTCCTTAAGGCAGCCCTTTTTCTATCATTTAGTAAACTGACTGAGTGACATATTTTATGGATATTTCATATTATATTAAAATCTGCACAATGAGCCCAAACAGAGAACTCAGTGACTGCAAGACATTTGTATCAAACGATAGAACTTAATTAGATTCTATTAAGTTCAAGACAATTTACTTTACATTTACTATTCTTCACAGAAGTGAAACAAATGCTTAGATATACTTCAGGCCTACTCTGTTATTTTTTTAAAAGTTTTCTAACACGCCCTAAAATCAAGAAGGCCTTGCGACCCACTGTGAAGCTTCGGTAACCCCCAGGTGGTTTATTGGATGAAAACTGTTAACTGTAATCCATCCACTGGAGATGTACGTAGTACAAGTACACAGACCTATTTGTATGCTGACTTACAAACCTATAATGAACTTGACACACTTCAACCTGTATCAGTAACAAAGGAGGAATAAAACTGTAGTTAAATGTGTCAATATTTGACCTGCTGGTGAATTATATGAGCAATGTGAGCAAGTGCTGTCCTGTACTGTCTCTCACTCCTTGAAAGGTCCTGGAAAATTACTTATTAAAAAAAAGTGGGAACCCTGGTAGTGCGTCTGTAGATTAGCCATTGTTAATGTTGAATATGTTGTATATACGTATATCTACTGTCTTAAAATAAAAATAATATCTAACATTTTTCACATGGAAAAGTTAACCTGACACAGACACGTACATCCTCCTGGTAGCAGATAGGCACAGTGAGCTTAGAGTGCACAGAGAACAATAGGCTCCTCGGTTTGCATTCACTTTCCCCTCCCAAATCAAAATCTATTTCAAGAAGTGGCCTTGTGTTTACCTTCAGCACAGTGTTTGGGTTAACCCAAATGCAGCATTCACCAGGTCTCATGTGAGGGTGTACGTGGTAAAACTGACCAATCACCAGGATCTGAAGGAGGAATGAGTGCTTTCTTGAACTCCATTTCCTGTTTCTTTTACTATTTCCTGGCCCCACTTTTCATCAAAGCATCTCTTCTGATAATCAAAACAAAGTGTTTAAGTGCGTAGACAAAAATAGGTGTGTGTGTGTGTGTGTGCGCGCGTGTGTGTGTGCGCGTGTGTGTGCGCGTGTGTGTGTGTGCGCGCGTGTGTGTGTGTGTGTGTGTGTGTGTGTGTGTGTGTGCGCGTGCGTGTGCGCGTGCGTGTGTGTGCATTATTCTAAAATTTGGAATGCAGCGTAAAACATTAATCTGCTTGCATGTAGTGTGATATGGGAGGATTATGCTGACTCAGTTTATACCACAAACGAAAATTACACAGACTTACAGTCAGTTGTGAAGTTTCTGACTCATCCTGCCTGCAGTCATCAACGTTATTTTTCAAACATGCACAGATATAGCTAATAAATGACTGACTCTCTGACCGACCAAGTAAATGGTAAATGGACTGAATTTATATATAGACTTCTAGTCTTTCCGAACACTCAAAGCGCTTTACACTACATGCCACATCGGGAGCAGTTTGGGCTTCAGTATCTCAGACACTTCAACATGCAACCGGAGGAGCCGGGGATCAAACCACCAACCTTCTGTTTAGTGGACACTCTACCTCTGAGCCACAGAGTGTCTTCTTCTCTCTAGTATGACATCTCACATGCTGCAGTCGAGCTATGGCGGTGTGAATGACGTTGCATGCTGATGTCGGGTTCGCAGTCCTGGAACTCACTCTTACTCCGTGCTAACTCCGTTAGCTCATCCATCTTATTTGCCAGAGATCTCACGTTGCCAATGATGAGAGAGGGGAGACACGGCTGAAATCTCCTCTTCCTCAGTGTCTGTTGTCTGGACCTTTCTCCCCTGTGTGATAACTGAAGAAGTAAAGGGCAAATTAACCTTTATTTTACAGAAATCTCAGTGACAAGGAATGAGCATTACTCTGAAAATGTTAACCAATCAATTAATAAACAAGGTCAAGAGCCATCTTAGCGGCTCTGTGAGGCTGTACTTAGGAACAAGGGTGCCTTGAGCTTTGAGCTAAATGCCCACAATGACAAAGTTACACAAAGGTATAATGTTTACTATGCAGGTATAATAGTAAATAATAATAAATGTTTACTATCTTCACCATCTTCAAAACAGTAAACCCTAAACCAATTGGTGACATTACAATAGGTTCACCCTTGATTTAGAAATTGAGGTGGAGGGCCGACAGACTGCAAGAATCCGTTTTGGGTATGTATTTGTTGCCAAAGGAAGATAGAGCAGTAATAAGTAACAGGCACAATATCTGACTACACCAAACAACAACAGGCTTTTGTTTCTATTTTTGCCTCTATTACATAGGACAACTAAAGATTGACAGGAAAGGAGGAGAGAAAGCGGATGACACTCAGCCAAGGGCCAAGGGTTGGATTCAAATCCATGGCTGCTGTAGCCCAGGCAAGCCAACAAGGCACGCCTGGAGTTTTTGTTTTGTGGTTAAACTTTAAATTGATTGTTAATTAACAGCAAAATTACTATACACCACACTCTTTCTGCAATTCTGCTTCTGATAAGCTTCTCACACAGTGCTGCATTTACCTCAGTATTCCAGTCGGACATCCGCTGCATCAACACCACTTTCGTTTGCCTGTATGTTGTGTCTATAAACTCTCTATAATCTTATTTTCTTATTTTCATTTTCCTTAAAATTTATGAATGGACTCTTGTGTTTAAAGCAATAACTTAAGCACTAAACTGCACCTACTTCATTGGCAGCATGTATGTGGAAGCAATCTCAGACCCCTACTGTTAAATGAGCTGTTGCAATAGTAAATCAAGGCTGAGTTTATACAGATTGTAAGGTCATGTTTCCTGAGAGGTACATCAAATAGTCCCTTGACTTAACAATATACCAGAGGGGGTTGGTGTTGCAATGGCCCACGACCCACACATAAACCAATGGGGTCATGCTTCAAGCACATAAGTAAGTCCGGAACTCTTTTTATGCAGTTGAAGATACTAATCTCAATCATCTCTAACACAAAGTGCAGCCTATTACAAGACAGAACATAATCTGAACTGTTTAAGGACACAAGCTTAGCCATGACAATACAGTTCTCAGCCTAACATTAGTCAAATAATCACCTTTTGTTCCAGTTTTTAAGTCTCTTTTTCTGTCTGTCTGTAAGGTTCAGGCTCAGGTGTGCAGCTCCCTGGCTGTTGCCCAGGCATTGGCAGATGATGTCGACTGCCATGTGTTTCCCTTCAGAGATTTTGGAAAAGGACGGATCAAGAAGCTACGCATCAGCCCTGACGCATACATACAGATCGGCTTACAGCTGGCATACTACAGGGTAACACTTTACGAGCCACATTCACAAAATACACACACTGTAGATAGAATGAATCAAGGAATAGCTTGAAATACTTCCAGGTCAAACTACATTGCCAATAGCAAAGGTGAAATTAAACACAATTAAAGCTATTGAGAACATTAGTAACATCAAGGCCATCAAGGCATTAAGAAGTACAATACCTCTACATCATATTCAGGCTAGAGCTAAATTTACGGGTCTGCTAGGAAAACAATACAAAAAGAAAACTCATAATTTCCTCCCCCTTCCCAAAGTCTCACTTGGTACAGTCCATATTGGCAACACCTGGTGGAGTAAGGGGCATTCATGTGTGCTCGTTCATGAAAGCGCCATCCTCACCCAGGAAGTGGACCTCGGAGACAACCATGATTGGAAACAAAAGCAAACAAAAAAAACAATAAAATGAATATTTCAATGAAAATGTGCTAAATTAAGTCAATGTTGAAGTCAAGTCCACTGCAATCGATCCTAAGTTTAGATGTTTATAACATAACCAAAACCAAATATTCAACTAAACTAATAATATAATAGTAATATAACTGAGTAATCATGTGGGTACAGCTCCCTCGCAAAGTTAGGTGAGATTATGTTTCAATGGAAATAATTCTATCTACTCTCCTAATGAAAGTAATGTATAGATACTGTAGCTACAAATAGAGAGTAGCTACAGTAGAATCTAATGACTTACAAGCTAGTAATGCTTTGTCATAATTGGCAGTTTTAAGCCCAGCAGCATAATTTGATTATAGACTTTCGTATCTCTGGTTCTTTTTCATGTATATAGCCCAAAATCACAAATTACAATTTGCCTCAGGGGCTTTACAAGCAGTGCAACATAGATCGTCGATTCACGTAAGGAAAAACTCCCCCCAATGGGTCAGGCACCGACAGTCTGGAGAGAGTATCTATGATTTATTTATCTTTTTTGTATTTATCCCCACATTGTTAAAATAGTCTCTCTTGTCTCTGTCACCTCTGTTTCTGTTGTCTGACCTTATTGACCCTGACTGCAACAAGTTTAATGGATCCATAGCTTCACTGTGAAAAAAACCTCCCTGGGCGGGAGGTCCAAAACAAAAACTCTAATAGTTAGAGCATTCATTCTGTTAACTGCAGAAAGCTCAGGCTTCTGTCTTTAACATCATCACATTGTGCGCTCTGATTGATGTGCGGTGGCGTCAGCTGATTTGCACGCGTGGAGGAGAGCGAAGGAGAGGAGCCACTAAAAAATGACTATATCTCAAAAATAAAAAAAATGTACATAGTCCAGATACCTTCTGGAGTGTCCTGAAATATTTTGTTCATGTTTCTTCATTTAGAAATCTTTTGAATCCCTTTTGGATTTTATTCCATTATATTTATATATCCATTATTATTATATTTATGACCCAATTTCAATCCTTTTTCAGTTATTATGGTTTATTATATATGTACAGTTTAGTTTTAGTTATACACTGCATATAATATTTTTCATTATAGTCATATTTTCTATTATATCTTTAGAATATTATTTTATTATTCTTTATTCTTTATTCTGGTCTTATCTTAAAAAAGGGGTACCTTAAAGAAGAAAGTAGGGAACCACTGGGTTAGATGGCCAACTATTGCTTTTGTCATTGTTTTTATTTACTTGTCAATCTCCATATACGTCTATCACAGTGACCACATGTTTGCATCTCTTTCATGTTCTCCCACCTCGTCCTCCTTCTCCTCTTCTTCCAGGATCGTGGTGGTTTCTGTTTGACGTATGAGGCGTCAATGACCCGTCTGTTCAGGGAGGGCCGGACAGAGACTGTACGATCCTGCTCCAACGAGAGCACTGCTTTCGTCAAAGCTCTAGAAGATGGAGAGGTACTGATAAATTCTTTGATTCAGCTCTCTGTCAGGTCTGTAAAGCAAGTACTCCCACAAAATGTCCTGCTGACCCAAACTCCAGACTAAAATCCCAACATTGTCATAGCAGATTCCTTAGACCGATCCACTGAAATATAATGGTGTCTGATGCGAGGCCTGAACTAATCTGGGGATAAACAGTAATTGAAAGTCAAGGCTGTTTTGTGCTGTATTCATAGATGATTTATGGTTGATTTTATTTTAGGGATGTCAGTGAAAGTGTGATTTGGTTTGACAGGCAGAGGAGCAATGCAGGCGTCTCTTCAGACTGGCTTCGGAGAGGCACCAGAACCTTTATCGAATGGCCATGACTGGAGCTGGAATTGACAGACACCTCTTCTGCCTGTATGTGGTCTCCAAATACTTGGGGGTGGAGTCACCCTTCCTCAAAGAGGTACGTCTTTTCTCAATGATGTACACAGAAAATCAACACTTAGCAGAAGGGTGTGGACAAAAGTGCCCCAAATGTGGAGCACATGCATGTAAAATGCACCTCAAATCAGTGGTTTATGCCTTGAATTGTGAACATACGCACATGACAATACACATGACATCTTATGACAGAAAGGGCATAAAAACATAAACCTGTCTATGTCTATATCTATGGTTAGGTCTGAAGTTGTTGAAAAGATTTGATGAGGTGAAAGTGAAAAAAAAAATTTATATATGACGTTTTTATTACACTTACCATTTTTGGACCTATAAGGTTAAAAAGTTAATTTTTTATAGAATAAACTATCATTGCTCCAAAAATAATAATGCATCCAAATCAATGTTGTTATCAATTATTGACGTAGTCAATGCTGTAGTAACCTGTTTTTCCCATTGAGAAAATCAGGTGTTTTTATGACAAAAAGGGCAAAAAACATAAAAAATGTTTTAAAAAAGAATAGATATCTATGGTTAGGTCTGAAGTTGTTGAAAAGATTTTATGTGGTGAAAGTGAAAACAAATATTTATATATGACATTTTTATTACACTTTTATGAGGGACCATTTTGGGTCCCAAGGTTAAAAAGTGTATGTTCATTTTAAAGGTGCATCAAGGGTTAAGTGTTTCTGCGGTGAGAGAAAAAAACACTACACATGGGTTTTGTTTTCTATGACAGTATGGAAGATATGGATGGAAATCATGCCTACATGTGTGTTGACTAAGCAGGGATCATATTACTCGAGAAAAGTCTACTCAATGACTACTTAGATTAATTTATTATGAAATGATTATAATGTATTGTAACTATGAGAATGATAGAACACTGATGATCCTTGTTCTTATAAATTATACATTATTAAAATGTTTTATAATGTGTTCTGATTATTGTTATGAAGTGCTCAAACTATATATAGATTATAACTTATCATTTATTAGTATGTTTATAATGCATTAAATGGGCATCAAAGGCATTTTACTTGATGGTGGCGCTGGAGGAAAAGTCACCAAAATCAGTAGGAGTCATGCTCTGGGACCATGAATGGCTGTATTGTTGGGTAAAGAAAAACACCACGTTCTCTGTTTTCCTTTCCTCTCGCTAATATTCCAGGTTTTGTCGGAGCCTTGGCGCCTGTCCACCAGTCAGACACCTGTTCAGCAGATGGAGCTGTTTGATCTAAAGAACCACCCTGATTTCATATCGCTGGGAGGAGGGTTCGGCCCTGTGAGTGGCATGCACTTAACTCTAATTGTAATAGCAAATGTGAATGACAAGAACATACTGGATGCATGTTTTGGTGGTTCCCAACCTTTGTCCTCCAGGGACCCCTTTTCTATCATTTAGTGAACAGATGAGCCCTGACTGAGTGACATTGTATGGATATTTTATATTATATTCAAAACTGTACAATGAACCCAAACAGTGAACTCGAACAGACGTTTCTGTAAAACCAGTGATTTGGATTCATTTTGAGCAGACTACTTTCTGTTTAGGGAACTTTTTATACAACTCTCTGTCTGTATTGTTTCTGACAAATTCCGTGTTTCCTTTTCCCTGACGCCATTGTTCAATTGACAGTTGACTTTTCTTAATAGAAGTTAAACAAATGCTGATATAGGCCTACTGTGTATATTTTCATATACTTTCCTTACACCCCTTAAAATCAAGAGGGCCTTGTGACCTCCCATGAAGCTTTCCCAGGTTGGGAACCACTGTTTTACATATTCAGATGCTGACTATATGTTTGTAAACACATACCCGTAATGTGTTTGTACAATGTGTGAGGCAATCTGGTTGATTTCATATGATCTCTGTGGTCATGGCAGGTTGCTGATGATGGTTATGGGGTCTCATACATCATTGTGGGGGAGGATATGATCAACTTCCATGTGTCCTCCAAATACTCCTGCAGTGACACTGTAAGTAGAGGCTTTGTTACTTTCTTACTTTCACATATAAGGTGTTAATTGTTAAATTCAAAACCAACTGGCATGTATATATATATAATGTTTGAACGTTCTGGTAGTTCCTATTTTGCTTCAAAGTACAGTATCAGCGTCATACAGGGAGGAATTCTTCCCTGCTTTTAGGGACATGCAGGATGATGAATGCAGCTTGATTGATTTAAGATTTATCTTATTGAATTGTACCATCTTGAGTTTCCTCTCTAGACTGGTTGATAGCACGGTGGTGAGACACTGCTGTCTGGCTTTTCAGAAATTAGGGAAGGCTGCATCACAACGAAATTCACTCTTAAACCATAAAGCACATGACAGAAAAGGGGAAAACTGTACTATCCTTTGTCTGTTTTCACTTCCCTTTTCCATATTATTGTGGAATCCTGCATTCATGAATGGAGTTACACAAGTAATTCCGCCAGGTTGATCATTTAGCCAATATTAGCTTGTTGCAGACATAATTGTGTCTCTTAAACTGTCAAACACCTATATCAGTAATCATAAATCCAGAATTCTCATGGCTCAGCTCAAATTGTATAACTTACAACCCACTTCCCCTCTCTGTCCACATCCTGTTGTCTCTTCCTCCTTTCTTTCCCTCTCTTCCCTTTTCACTACCATCCTTTAAATTCTTGATTTTTTTCCATTTTAGGACTCCCACAGGTTTGGAGCTCAGATAAGTAAAGCTCTCCAGGACATAATGACTCTCCTCTCAGCTGACACCAAAACCTCCTTGTCCTCCAAAGGCGCAGCGCAGCCTCAGGCCAAGAAGCTCCTCTGAACCCCCCAAGAAATAAACCCTAAATAACCCATTGTCATTTTTTAAATTGCAACCGATTACATAGCATAAGACAGAAAAGCATTAACTATACAGACGTGAATTTAAGGAGTAAAATCAAAGGGAGATTCCATGGCAATCACATAGCTTTTGGGTCCTGTTCAGACAAGACAGAAACAAAGATGTGAGGAACCCTGTCGTATTAAACAGGTCATCTATGGTGCCAACTTTTAACCGTGCATACCTGCATCAGAGGACTCACCTGGATGTTATGATTTGCATTCTTCTGTTTTGTAACATGGAGCTAAAAGCCTTTCTAGATAAAAGGACTCTAACAAATGGATTTGACAGCTATTCATCATTAATACAGCTAGACCAGTGGTTCCCAGCCCCTGAAAGGACCCCTTATCTATCGTTTAGTAAACTTACAACCCCTGCTTAGGTGACATATTGTATGGTGTGTTTTTTTTAGGAAGTTAAGGAAACTTTTTATACAAGTATCTATGTATCTATTTTCGATTATCTATCTATTATGTACTTTTTTTAATTATTTTTGACAAGCACACACGCTTAATAGGCTTCTTTTTTGACAGTTTCAGAGTTTTCTTGTCCCTGATGCCTGGCCTTTCGACTGAGACTATTTACTTTTCTTTAAAGAATTGAACCAAATGCTCAGATATAGGCCTACTGTGTAAGTTTTGTAGCACATTTTGAGAATAACAATACCTCACAACCCCCTATGAAGCTTTAGCACCCCCCGGTTTGGGAACCACTAACCTAGATGACACGTGAGCATGTAAAACCGCTTCGAATCCCTGCTTTCTCTGAGAATATGAAACCTGCAATGGGTGATTTTTAAGAAAGTGGGAGCAAAGGTCATCACTTAAGAAGGAGGTCTTTAGCAGTAAGAAGCAAAGAAAGAGAGACAAATGTCGCTGACAACAGGCGGACAGCATTAAGAGACTCTAAATCTCAATAAAAGTGAAGGGGAAAATGTTCTTTTAGATGCTGTGCAGCAGTTCGGGGTTAGATAGGGCCCGTCGGACGTCACTGCAAAACTCAAGAACAAAAGGAGGTTAAAGAAGTTGTAGCCACATTATATTGTCATTTAATTTGATGTATGAAATGGGACTAGAGGTTTATAAACTAGATGATGAAAGTCCCACTCTAATTTTTTTTTTTTTTTTAACTTTAGGAATAAATATTCTTCCACCCAATGTTCAGGGTTACTTTCACCTATCCCCTGATCTCAGGATAAGCCACAGCCTGAATCAGTAGTTAGCTGCTAATGTCTTACATCTTCAATGCCAGAGAGAATGTGTCTGTATGTGTACTGTGGCTTTCATACCACACCTGCTAAGAGCTAAAAAAGTAGTATGCCTTTCCATAGTGACAGTTAAAGAGAGGCCCTGTGGAGTTTTAACCATAGCTACCCCTAGGATTGCCATAGCACCAGCCTAGCACCCCCAAGAAATATCTGTGGCTTCTTTAGATTTTTTAATTTTTAAAGTGTGAATACTATAATTCATAATCTGAAAAAGGAATAGATACATTAACAAAATAAACTGATCTTTTTTAGATTAAAAGACACATGATGATTGATCTGATTTTGTCAATGGGTGCAGCACGCACTTAACCTTTAAACTTATGTCCACTTCCTTTAACCCCAAAGCATTAGCAACAGAAAATCCCTGGTTTTCTTCTTCCCTGCCATTGCTGGCACATAGCTGTGCTTCTTTGAGTCAACAACTTTCAAGGAAATAATAGCATGGAACAGAGACCTACTTGTAAACACTTGTCTCCATGTTGCCTCTACTGTTTTTTTTTTTTTAAACTCCTTTTAAAGTCAACTGTTGGCATGCTTAGAGCATATCTTTAACCCACTCAGACTGCTCTGGCGACACCAGGCCTGATAATCAATCAGATTATTAAAAATAATTCATTGTAATTTTAATTAATTGGATTCAATGTTCTAAATCTTCAAAGTAAAGTACAATATTTTCCTCTGAAATGTATTGGAGTAGAAGTATTAAGAGCAAAAATGACTGTATCTCAAATATGTACTTATGTGAAGTAATTTAACAACTGGTTCAGTTGTTAGGTTATGACTTGGAAGCAGTGTTGTGAAACTGTAAGTGGTGAGTGATTTTTATTTAGTAGCTCTATCTATTATAATCGAGGGTTATTGTGTCCCAACTGGAAGGCTGCCAACTCCACAGTGTTTTGTGTTAGACTGCTGTGCTCAAAAAGAGTCATGGGAACACAGGATTCACAGTGATGTTGAAATTTTATTCATTGCGGTACATAGTTTCAATTTCCACACTTCCATTATGGTCTCTGATGCACTAATGTTTTGAATATTTGACAATCCAATCAAAGGCTGTGTTCTGACCGAGATCAGGTGGTAACTCACAATGTAACCCTAGGTGTTGTCTTCCTAACCGTGTGTAGGAAGGAAGCAGGAAAGGGTGGGAGAAGCTCAAATGACTTTTCCATTTTGTTTGTTTTACTTTATCTTTTCAGTGGATTGCTTGAATAAGGAGTGGCTCTTTAAGGTCAACTGTGTCAGCTTATCAGACACAGTTGTGTTTTACTGCTGTTGAATGAAACGCACCTTGAGTGTATTCTCTCCATCACTGAGCCAGTTACTAGTTATTTGTTCCCAGACATTTTTTTGTTATTTGGGTCACTCCACATTAGCTTGCATTTGTTTTCACTACAGCTGACGGCTGCGGCCTCAGGGAGCGGAGCAACAGTTCTCATCTCACCGTAACATTACTTAAGCTAGAGCCCATAAATAACAGTGTCTTGCACTTACAATTCACAATTATCAACAGCAAATGTAAATTTGCTCATTAATAACGAGCAGGATCATGACCTGGCAATGAGACTCAACAATCAACTATCTTTCTCTTCTCTGATGGTTGTTTTTGTTCAGGCCCGGTGGTTCCTTCAAATGCCATTAGGAGCACTAAGAGGAGCCAGATTTTTTTCACAGATTTTCAAAATATTTTTATAAAGATTACCTACTGCAGCTTTAAATGCATCAAATGCAAAAGGCCAAACCAATTACGTGCCTCAGTCTACTCCACTGTGCAGCATTAGCACTAGCATTTAGCAGCAGGTTTACAGTTTGCTTTGTGTTAGGACTAAAGGTTAATATGAAGATTAGCACTGTCTTTTCTTACTGACTTGATTTTTGGATACATTTTTATTGTGTTTTTTTTCTGTGTAACTACTGTTTCTGCTCTCGGTTAATAGTTGATGATTGAACGTTTTTAATGAATTTGTGGGAATTGTAGTTTTTTTAATTATATAATATCTGATGTTTACTGATTTTACACTCCAAAAATGCTCATTATTACTGTTTTTTGTCAGTAGTTTTGATTCTAAAGCTTATTTAAATGTCAATGTAGACAGTTTTTGAAGGCTTTTTACAGATGGTAATGGTGTGTTATGGGAAATAAAATTCTTACTGACTGTACTGTGCATCTGCCTGTGATCTGTTTATCATTGAAGTCAAGTAGTGGTTAAGCGAGTGGTTTCCAACTTTTTTCCATGAGGGGCCTCTTAAAAAGGCAGTTTTACTTTGCCGTCATCACCAAGTGCTTGCTCATGGTGGTACTGTTGGGTCTCTGTAAATAATGTTATAAAGAGTTCGGTCTAGACCTGCTCTATTTGAAAAGTGTCCTGAGATAACTTCTGTCATGAATTGGCGCTATACAAATAAAATTGAAGTGATTTATGAGTATTAGGTAAATTGACAACCCCGACTATATTCTACAAATACAGAACAACTGATAAACTGTACAATGAACCCCAACAGTGAACATACCTGGTTGACGTTTGTGTAAATTCTGATATTTTTAGGAACTTTTTATACAATCCTCCAATTATGTTTAATTAACAACAATTTTTTACCAATTAAGTGTTTTCTTCTCCCTGATACCTGGCCATTGTTCTAATATCCAATCCAATCAAATTTTTTTTTTAAGCTAAAAACCAATTCCAAAGTCCAGTAGAATAAATAAGACATCATAAATGTTAACAAATAACAAATAAACATGTCCAAATGAAGTCAGGGTCACTAAAAATTACTAAGGCTACTTGATCAAGAATGTTTTTTGTAATTCACGAAACTCATTTAGTTTTAATTAAAGATGTTGCTTTCATTTGGGTTAAATTAACTTAAAAATAACAGTTTCATTAACTTTTCTTTCTTCACAGAAATGGATGAAATATAGAGATATAGGCCTTCTCTATATTTTTTTAAGGTTTTTTAGTATGCCTTAAAACCAACAAGGCCCTGTGACTTCCTAGGAAGCTTTGGTGCCTTGAGCAAATCATTAGTGGAGGTTTACTGTATGTCAAAATCCGACTATCTAGGGTTACTTTATGCTCAGTCAGTAATTTCTTTGAGCAGCCTTTCCCCCCTCACATTCAGATATTACACAGCATCAAGTCACCATCAGCTCACAATAAAACCTCTGCATGTTCCATTTTCCTTATAACAGACTCAGTGAAGTAGCTGAAATAAAGCCGAGATGCAGATATCTAAAGTCTAAATCTAAAATCTGCATTTTCAAATCCCAAATCATGATTGCTGGATCCAATTGTGAAACTTTGAATGACAGCGACACTGAATAACAATTTTTCACAATCGCACAGCAATAGCAGTCAGTACATCCGCTGATCGTTGCTACATCTACAGGTAGTAGACGCAACACAAAACATTTGATTAAATCCTCGAAACAAATCGAGGTCAATAGATTGTAATATGTTTTGTGAAGTGAACCAAGGGGAACTGAAGATTAAACGAAAGCCTATTGTTGGAGAGTCCCTCTCTTGAAAAGTAAATCCACAACTTTCCAGCTGAGTGTGGGTGTGTGGGGGGGGGGGGGGAGGAGGGGGTTCAAGTGCAGGGTAAAGGGCTTATATGGACGTTGTCCCTCGTTTGGAAAGTCCGCGGATGAGATCACAAATGAAGAGCAAGGGGAGGAGAGAAAGTGCTCATGAAAAGGTGGAAAGCGAAAGTAAAGCTCAGAAGAATGATGCAGCCCTGAACAGCAACCCAACACCACGGCACGGTAAGCTTCCACGCTCATTCTAACTTATGTGTGTGCCTGGCCTGTCCTGAGACAAATGCACACACATACATTACCTGTTGGACTGTTGCTCTGCTCAGATGAGATAAGGATAAGGGCACACCTTAATGAAGTCGCTTATTGTAGAGGGTGCTAATGCTGGAGGGCTGAGGGGACTGGCCATTACAGTTCCACCGGCCTGGGGGACAGTGAGCTGACCGGGGCGTCTTGCATAACACATGAGACTGGAGGAGACTGGAGGAGAAAAGGTGACCGCGATGTCTCTGGATAGTCACCAGAGTGTGTGTGTGTGTGTGTGTGTGTGAGAGAGTGTGTGTGAGTGAGTGAGAGAGAGAGAGAAACTTAATGCACCCTGCAGCCTCATCGCCTGCTCAGAGCTCTCTCTTGCCTGTGGTTTTTTGTTACTGTTGTGTTATTTTACCGACTTCCTGTAATCGCTTTTCCTTTTTTTTTTTTTAATACAGTTTTTTTTTTTTTTGGCCTTTTATTGCCTTTATTAGATAGTGACAGCTGAAGTACATGGGTCAGCAGCTCTACCAGTTGAGCACTGTGGTCAAGCCAGCCGTGAGTTCGATCTCCGTGGTCAAATCAGCCGCACTTAAATTTCGGTTGTACAACTATTCTAGCATTACGGTAATTGCGGTAAAGTAAGCTATAATTCGAACCTACATTTAAAATAAAATATTTTACATTCTACATGCGCCCCTGATGAATAAAAAACACTTGCTATCAAGTATCTTTACTGCACCAGTGTGGAGAAATGCCAAAATAAAAGTCCCATATTTATGAAATTGCATATTTGACCATATTTGAGCTACTGTAAAAACATATTGCTCAATAATTCCTGGCTATGGATGGTATATTTGACTTATGCACATCTAGGACTACAGGTATACTTAATATCAAGCATTTTTACTGCAGAAATCTGTAGAAATTCAATAATAAAAGTCCCATATTTATACCTCCAGATTCAATATTTGACCATATTTGAGCTACTGTAAAAACACTTTGCTCAATAATTCCTGGCTATGGATGGTATATCTGACTTCTGCACATCTAAGACTACAAGTATACTTAATATCAAGCATTTTTACTGTACCAATTTGGAGAAATTTAAGAATAAAAGTCCATATTTGTACCTCCAAGTGGCATATTTTCTTATGTTTGAGCTACCTGGCAATTGATTTCCCTTAGCCATCACAGAAGATATTCCAGTAACTGAGACGAGGACAGAGGATTCTTCTGGAGGAGCTTATAGTGAGAGAACACGTATGTCTAATGAGGAAGTCTATTATCAAGAAGCATGATGTATGCTACATTGAAAGCCTTTCAATTATTCTTTATTCACACATGCTTACTGAGTGCATTGTACCTACTATCTCTTCCTCATATTTGTCTCTCAAATACTTGCTGAGAGGAGACACAAGGAAGACAAGTCAGCTTGTAGTCTCAAATGCGTAAAAGTCAAATATACCATCCATAGCCAGGAAATATTGAGCAAAATGTTAATACAGTAGCTCAAATATGGTAAAATATGCCACTCTAAGGTACAAATATGGACTTTTATTCTTAAATTTCTCCAGATTTCTGCAGTAAAAATGCTTGATATTAAGTATACTTGGGAACTCTCTATCTCGCCTAGAAACCGCGCTTGGCTCACGGAAGAAATAGGCGAGATAACTCTCTAGTGAAGCAAAAGTCCCTTTACCATTTAGATGGTAACACATTCATACACTGATGGCAGTGGCTGCCATGCAAGGTGCCAGCTGCTCACCAGAACGGAAACTAATAATTCATACACACCGATGCACATCGGGAGCAATTTGGGGTTCAGTGGGGTTACAGTAGCTCAAATATAAGAAAATATGGAATCTGGAGGTATAAATATGTGACTTTTATTCTTAAATTTCTCCAAATTGGTGCAGTAAAAATTAGGGATGGGGCCGATCCGATCCAGTATCGGTATCGGGACCGATACCAGCGTAATTCACGTATCGCAATTTCCCGATCCAACCTGCGCAGATTTCCGATATCCATGAGCCATGTCTGCGTTAACGTTGTCTGCTGAAATGACTCCACAGGTGATTCCTGCCGGCCAGTCTGCTAGCTGGCTGCAAACTGTGGAACGGATTTCCTGAACGGAGGTGCAGCTCAATGAGACACAGAGTTATGAGACACGCCCCCGCTCAGGAAATCCATTCCTCAGTTTGCAGCCAACAAGCAGGATAGCATTGAGCGGCATTGTGGCTAGCAAACATGTCCGCTGTGTGGAAATACTTTACACTGGAAACACCGCAGAGCAAGACAGCAAAATGCAATGTTTGCAAAGCCGTAATTCAGAGACGCGGAATCTCCCTCGCGTCGTACAACACTACGAACGCAATCAAACATTTAAAAAAAGCACCACACGAAACAGCACAAGGATTTTTTTAGGCGAGCTGTCAGGAATCACTTCTGGAGTCATTCCAAAAACAAAGTAAACTCCAGGCAGACAACGGGAAAACTAAAGGGACCGAGTGTGTGTGTGTGTTAGATGTTTACAGTTATTGCACTTTTCTTATATTTCAGATAATTGACATTTTAAAACCTTGATTTGTTGATGCTACAAGAGCCAGTGTACTTGATCTGTGCTGTTCAGATGCACACTGTTTTATTGATAGTGTGTGTGTAAGATGTTTACACTTATTGCACTTTTCTTATATTTCAAGACTCAAATATTTGACATTTTGGGAATTTAATAAATATTGACATTACAATCAATTTGAAACCCTTACAGTTGCATTTTTGTTTTCAGGATGGGATTTTTCCTTTTAACAGGATTTCCTGTTTTTCTGACTTCCTTTTCTGACCTTATACTTACCTCAAGTTGCCTTTTGGGACATACATGCATACATACGTACATATTATACTTGCCTGTTGAGAGGAGTTTATTCATATTATCTCATATAAAATCAACAATAATGATAATAATAATATTAAAGCAAACAGAGCTCTGGTATCGGAATAGTATCGGTATCGGCAGATATCCAAATTCAGGTATCAGGATCGGATCGGAAGTGAAAAAATGTGGATCGGTGCATCCCTAGTAAAAATGCTTGATATTGAATGTTTGTGTAGCCTTATATGTGTAGAAGTCAAATATACAATCCATAGCTAGGAATTATTGAGTAAAATGTTAATACAGTAGCTCAAATATGGTAAAATATGCCACTCTAAGGTACAAATATGGACTTTTATTCTTAAATTTCTTCAGATTTCTGCAGTAAAAATGCTTGATATTAAGTATACTTGGGAACTCTCTATCTCGCCTTGAAACCGCACATGGCTCACGGAAGAAATAGGCGAGATAACTCTCTAGTGAAGCAAAAGTCCCTTTACCATTTAAATGGTAACACATTCATACACTGATGGCAGTGGCTGCCATGCAAGGTGCCAGCTGCTCACCAGAACGGAAACTAATAATTCATACACACCGATGCACATCAGGAGCAATTTGGGGTTCAGTGTCTTCCTCAAGGACACTTCGACATGCAGCGAGAGGAGCCGGGGATAGAATCGCCAACATTCCGATTAGTGGACGACCCGCTGTACCTCTGAGCCATGGTACACAGTTGGCAGTGTGAACCAGGGCTGATGCGTCCAGTCTGTGCCTTCCTGTTAATGTCCCAACAGTGAGGATCAGTCTCACCCATCCATTTTAGTTGTAAGTGATTGCTGTCATAAATTACAAGGCACTTCAGTTTCAACTGTCACAACCCAGTCTCCTGCTCAGAGCTCTGTCATACCTACTTTGTCTTATTGCCTTCCTAAAACTGCTCTTCTGTGGAACACAATGGCAATGGCTGCACATGCAGACACAGCGGCCTTCAAAAAGCTGCAAACAAAAACAACCTTACATTGAAATCAGTATCATTCTCTAACATATTCTACTGCTAGTTCTACTGGTGTGCCATTTTCTTCCATCAGGGTTAGAAAAGATTTTTTGGTTGAATTAGAGGAAGGAAGTTGGAGGAAGTTTTCTTTAATTTCTTTGTTTTATTTTGGACTCCCCCCCTCTCTCTCTTTCTCGCTCTCTCTCTCTAAATCAAACATGTTGCCAAAGAAAAACTTCTAGTATAGAATATAAAGATTACTTATACACTACAATGAAAAAAATACTAATATTACAATGTAATAAATACTAATAACACAATGAAATGAAAGAAAAGCAAAGAAAAAAACCAACAACCTCATATAGAAATGCAAATGCTTGCGGTATGACATGTGGTGACATGTTCTCATGCCAGTGCTGTCATGCTGTCTTCTCCCTTAAGGGTTTGGGAGTTTACTTACTTTACTATTTTGGACAACTTGTGAGAAAATGAATTTCAGTTTAACGTCTCCTGTTTTACAATGGGTACAAATTCTGATTCTGTATATAGTTAGAGTTTTTGAGCTTGAAATATTTCAGTTTATTATCTTTGTCTATTTGTTTTACATGAGTGCGTATGTGGTGTCCCAGCGAGGTGAGGCGAGGTGAAGGCTGTCCTGTCCCGCCCTCCTGTAGTAACATGTACCAACACAAACAGTCACTTGCATGTCCAAGCAGTCAGTCAGATCAGGGAGTTGTGATCCGAGTTGTGTGGCAGTGATTTCAGATGAACTGTTGCAGAGTTATGAGGGATTAATGAGGATTGTGAGTTTCACTTTCTCCCCGTAGAGGAAGTGTGCCTCATTTATCATCGCTGTCGCTTGTTGTTGCTTTTAGCAATGAATAACTGAAAGGACAGTGACTGATGATTAATGAACAACTGTGCACTGTTGTTTGTATGTTTACTCCTTGTTAAGGAAGGTTGTTATAAAATGATTGACAGCCTTTATGTTCTGTGAAAGCAAAAGCAGCAACGTTTGTGAAGTTTTTGATGAACTTTTATTGTACTTGATGAACATTTGAAGAGTCGGAATTGTGATGTGAGTTGGAGTTGGTTAGAAAAGAGCTATGAAATATCAAATCCGTTATCTTTGCTCACTACACTTTAGCCTTTTTTTTGCCATCAAGTGTATAAAAATTGCAGGGCATGAATAACTTTTTAAAAGGCAAAAATGTGAAATTATCGGTTCATATTTTAATGAGTGTTCTGAATATAAGAATCGTGTTTTGCAATGTGCCATTTTTTATCTACAGAAGGAGAACTTCTTCCCTAGTGCGAGTCTGAATGTTCACGGTGGCAACATGACAGGCTGGAGACGCACAATTCTTTTTGTAAGTGTCACCTATGCAGCATTCCTTGTAAACTCAGCTCATGGCTGTGACATGGGTCGCTCAGAGTTATGAGTTTTAATCTAAACTGACAACATCTTGAGCACACATTACAGACTACACATCCTAGTTTTAAAGACTTGCACTAGTAGATACTTTACATTATAACTTAGTGTGTATATTTGAAATGCTTTCTCCCAATGTCCCAAACGATTTAAAAACAGACCTTTAATGTTATTATTTTTTTGTCTACTAGGTCCTGGCCCTGAGCATAATCAACCTGTCAGAAGAGAACTGCGCCGACTATGTAAACACAACTAGATTTTTTTGTATCAGTAGTCAGTTGTTTCATTTAGTGTTTTTGTTACTTCAGGACACCAGCAAAATGAAAAAGTGAAGGCATTAAGTATCGTCCTCTGGGTTTTCAGAGGTTCCTCTTTATATAAACTGTCAAACACCTTCTACACACAGTGGCTGTTTAACATTGAGGAGGATCTATAGGCAGAAATGTAATATAATATTCATAGGTATGTTTTCATTACCTTGGAACAAACTGTTTTTATCTACAGAGGGAGCAGGTCCTCTTTTACGCAGGCCGCCATGTTTCTACAGTAGCCCAGTATGGACAAACCAAACACTCGCTGTAGATAGGACCACCCTAGTTTCTCCTACATGCTTGGAGGGCGAGTTGTATTCACTTTGTCTGCAATTTCACTATTAGATGCCACTGAATCCTACTCACTGGTCCTTTAAAAGTAGCTCATAAGATACCATTTGTCTATATCTTAAGTTCTAAGCAGTAAAATGAAGTCAACTATAATACTATCAAAACAATCATGCTTGGAACATTTTTTTAAAACAAAAATCAGACTATTATTATTTGGCCCTGGCAGGCTATTTTTGGTAAGCTTTCCGCAGCATTTCACTATGAATGGGAATGATGATAATAATTAGTAATAAACTGGAGATTAACAATTAATATCTGTTTGTCTCACTCTGTTTCTCTGTTTCACTTTCAAGCCAAGAAATAACACAGGCAGTGTCACCCTCGTTGAAGCAAATAATTTCCAGGTAACTTACTGAAAAAGAGAGAGAAATGATCTGTGCAGATTCTATGTAAATGTAAATGCATTTTATTCTATGCTGACTGTACTGAGTTGCATTTGACTAAGTGTTCTCTGCCCAATGCAGCGCATGATGGAATGCACAATAGAGACGGAGTGCACAAATAACCCAACCTCCATCTGTTCCATGTTGGAGTGTGTGAACAGTGAGCGTGCAAACGTGAGTGAACAGTACCAACCTAATACTGTTATACTTTCTTCTACCTGCTGCCATTTCTGTCATGTCTCACTTTAATGCTAATGAATTACTGTGCCTGATTAACCTGTTGTATCTCTTTCCACCACAGGTTGAGATAAAGAATGTCAGTGACTTCTGTGGAAAACATTTATTCACAGTCCCTTTATTTTACTTTGAGTGCTTGGTGACCATAGCGTCTAACAACATTCCTGAAGGTATCACTCATTCTGCTTACACACAAAGATGCAATATGTTGCATCCATTGCAATGAACTGAGACTCACAAATCTGTATACTAAAGCTGTTATTTTCTTTTCTTTCTTTCTTGCATCACAGCTTGCCGATATGGTGAGTAAAAGTGCTGCGTTGTGGTATGATGGTGTGCGTGTGTCTGTACCTATTGTTGTGCACCAAAACACACAATATATTGCTTTTACAATTTATGACCCTTATTGATTTTTGTGTGTTTCTGATCTAAGTTATTTCAGACAAAGTCTTCCGACTCTATTCCGATACATTTAATGGTAAGCCCCTCCTTATATCCCCCTCCTTATATCTAGATGTGCTTAAGAACCTTGCATGCTATGCAATTGAAATCATGCTGGCTGTTGCATTTCTCGATCTCTATGAACCAGGAATACTTCACTTTATGCTTAATCTTTGCTCTGATTGATTATTTAAAATGAATCAGTTTTCTGTATGTAAACGTGATTGACACACTGTGAAAATGTATTTATTTTTTAACGGTAAAAATGGCTGGTTTTCTTCTGCAGCCACCATGGCCTGTAGGCTATAGCTAAACAGTTAATTTCCTGCAGTTCACCACACATTCCCCATCCATATTCTCCATGGTGATGGTAGCTTGCACTCCGGCTCAACAGTCAGCTCATTGGAGCCTAGCATAGCTCCAGTCACCATTGTTAATAGTTATTTATTAAACTGGTTATCAGTTTAATGTTACATAGCTTGTGCTGGCCATTCTTTTCTTCTCCTATTTTGAAATCCATCAGTTGTAATCCTGGTCGCCATTCTGCCTGTAACGTTAGATAAGTGATGTGTGACTGATAGTGCTCTTGTGACTGCACGTGCACAGATCTACATGCGAGTGCCTGATACGCTGAATGAATATTAACATCCACAGGAGTACTCAGGTACTTATGCCCATCCCCTAGTAGGCTGATGATGCTTTAGGAAAAGTTAAGGGATCACCAAACATATTACTTGTAATATGTAATATGTATGGCAATACATCCAATAGTTGTAGACAGATTTCACTTAAAAACCACAAATGTCCACCTCTACCTTAAGGTGACTCTAGAGGAGAGTCGGAGAATCACCAGCAGCACGTTCTTATTCTGTCTGTACAAAATGAAATGGCAGTCCCAATGTTGTCAAGCTTTTTCAGTTTTAACCAGTGCAGTGGACCAATCGTCTGACATCGACGTCCCTAGAGCCATGTTGCTAGAATGGCTAAAATGACCATAGTTTATTTATACGTTTCCCATAGCAGTCACACTTGGATGGTATGGGCATTTCTCGTTCAACTGGTTGTTAAACGCTTATGATATTAGTTATTTAAATGCACATACATTTAACAACCGCCTGCTTTGATGCTAACGGCTAAAGCTGTAATGATTCTGAATGTGTCAGAACAACCAGCAAGGAGACTGAACATTTAGTTTATTTCATAACATAATACACACACATAACATCACACAGTCTTGTTGTTCAAAACATAAAATAAATAACTTCAATAAAACAAATACTCGCAAAAATGATCGATAAGATGGATGTTGGATGACATTGATTACAAATCAACTCACTCCAAACTCGCTGCTTAGGTTCACTGTGTGTATCTGCCACTGACACGGATGAATTCATATAATGATGATCCTGTGCCTTTGAATAGTGCCTTTAATTTGACCAAATCTGCTACATTAGTATTTATTTCTTATTTCATCTATATTGTACTGACTGCCTTTGATGATCAACGACCACCAACAGCAACAACATTGCCACCAACAACAACAACATTGCCGACAACAACAACATTGCCGACGACAACAACAACAACAACAACAACATTGCCGACAACATCAACAACAACAACAACAACAACATTGCCGACAACATCAACAACAACAACAACAACATTGCCGACAACAGCAACAACAACATTGCCGACGACAACAACAACAACAACAACATTGCCTTCAACAACAACACTGACAACAACAGTCACACAGAGCACAGTAAACAAAGACAGTGGTAAGATATGGAAATGGAACTTGCCATTACCTACTTTGTGGCCTTAGAAAACCTCCAACATGGTTCCTGTCAGTAATGTTACTACCATTTTTCGAACCAAAACATTGCTCTTCCAAAACATTCATTTGGTGAAAAAACATGAAGCAAGAAGCATAAATGCCATAAATAATACCATTTTGGGGGGTTTTCAAGACAAACTGACTGACTGGTTCGTTTGGTAGATCTGGTTAACATCACCCAACTAACCCTAATCATGGTAAACTGATAGAATCAAACCTTAAAGAATAAATGACAGATTAAGTGGTATGTGACTATTTGGTTTGACCATGTAAAGTGCAATATTTCCCTTCTGTTGCCTTGTGGTAACTAACATGACAGTTACAAAGCCATTTACATTCATTTAGCAGTATTCTTTGTGCATGTCCTGCATCTAAAGCTGTGAGCATGTTTGGTATGTATCAATGGCTTGTCACCTGTAGCTGCAAGGGCCCCGCCTTTCACAGTGCGTGCTGTCCTAACTAAACAGGATTTCTTGCTTCTTGTGCTTTTTTTATTCATAATAGTATTTCAAGGGTGAAAATGCTAACATTTTCTCGTTTCACTGCTTTTTGCTCTGATACGATTTACTTTCAGATTTTTTTACATCATTTAATAATACTGAATAACAAGACATGCAACATTCTTGGGTTGACATGAATTACATAAATAGGTCAGGATAAAGTTATGTAACATGTTGGTAGTGTCTTTAACCTCTGTGTATTAAAACAGCCTGCAGGAAATGATTTAACAGTAGTTTGCTTGTCTTACACTGTATATTTGCAATTGTAATGATGTAAGTTGTTTTTTTTTCATCTTTCCAAAGGTCAAGCATCATTTCATGGAGAGGGTGGAAAAGGTAAGTTTTTTCCCTTGATTTAAAATGTGTATATTTGGGTTGACACATGTCAGAGTTTAGAAAGTAAAAAAAAGTACATAAACAGCAGACATTCTTTGATTGACACGGTTCATATTGGTTAAGATGAAGTTATTTATCTATCAGTTATTTGTCTGTTTATCAGGATATTTAAATAATTGATTTAACATTTCCCCACAAACAAATAATGGAGATAACACAGGTAAACGTTTTCCTAGTCATATACATGTGAACATTAGTGTTGATATATTAATAATCAGATTTTTCAGGTTTTTGATTTTCTTTGTCTGTTGTCTGACCATCTGGGTCTCTGGTAGTGTGTAGTTAGCTCAGAAATGTAAAAACACCATGACCACACAGCCAGACTAGTCTGATGAAGTGTTTTCTTTTGGTGAGGTCTGCTACATTTCAAATTCTGGTCAAATAAAAAAAATTACTGAGCCGTTCAGAGTGAGGCGAGATTGTCCACTAGTTATTCGATTGCAGATGCTTTTGTGAGATGCTTTGCTAAAGCAACTGCTTTACAAGTTGTTTTTGTTGTTATTTGTTTGGTGACATTAATGGAATCTGTCTCTGATATCTCCTTAACAGACGTTATATCCCTGAAGATATTATTGATGATATCTTTGGTCCTGAATGTGGCCATGATGCTGGCTTTACTTTACTTCAAAAAGCGCCAGCAGAGGAAGGACTGCAGAACTGTGAGCAAAATCCTGTTTGTTGTTTGATCGTAATGGTCCATATAGATAGCAGCCAGTTTAATAGCCTCACTTAAGGAGCGTAGACCCAAGGGCACGTAGGCAGGTATATGGGGACAATTATTAGTATTTTAGAAAACATTCCCACACACATGGAGTCACAGCCATCAAGGCTCAGACAGTAGAATGTGTGCAATCCTACAAATATCTTGGGTCTTGACTCAAAACTGAACTTTTGTAGAAAACTGTGAAGCCGTGTGCAAAAAGGACAGTTTCCTCATACAAAATAAAAGCCTTGTTTTATCGTGCTTTTATTGAATCATTTCTGTCTTTTTGTCTGGTCCCTTGGTTTGGTTTGTGAATATCAGCTTCTTCCCTCTGGGCGGAGTTTATAAAAACAGCTTTGTTCCAGCGGCTATTGTTCAGATCAACTGGTTTGCTTGTTTTTACCAGCATTTTACCTTATCAATTCTAGTGATTATTTATCAGTACCTCAAATATACTGTTAGTGTCTATCTACATAGTGCAGCATCAGAACAGTTTAATTTAATATATTATTTGACTTCTTTATTTTGTTTTTCAGAGTGAATTCTGTGAGGTGAATGAAGTCTTATTAGAAGCTCAGCCAGAGATAGAGCTAAAGGTACTGTTGGAATGTACTGTGCATGTGGTTTTTCAACATGACTCACACTCTGTCTTGCTGTCATTATGAATCCAGGACTTCCCACTACGTGATCAGCGTATTAATATGTCTTCATTCTGAAATGTAGACAAAAGTGAGGATGAATTGAACACGGGCAGTAAAAATGAAACTATCTGGGGTTGTTGTTTACTGCCTGTGTTACTGGGTAAGGTCATAATACCAGACTTGTAAAACTCACTTTAACTGCAGTGAATTATTAACAGGTTTTGTTAGCACTCAACAGCTAAATATCCCATGAATATTAGCCCTGACAGGTGATGCTGGCAGAACTTCAGAAAAAATCAGTAACATGAAGTTACTGATTTTGTAAGTGAATAACAAGTTTCTGACAGCTAATTTTCCATGCTGTAATGAAATCCACTGATAGTAAAACAAAGGAAGGGAATGTCAAACATTGTGGTATGAAAAACAGTAAAGGTTATCTGTCAGCTGTCCGTCGTATGTGAAAGTAGTCAACTAAGCAACTCTGCGACTGACCAAGTGCTCAGGTTGAAGTGATAGGAACATAGAAACCAATCTGTCAAAATGCTCTTTAAAAGTAGGGAGAGGGATGTAAGCCAAACCTGGCTTTGCTTCAGCAATTTCATTCCACAACCCCTGTCCCCGTATCAAGCCCCACATTAGACTGCTGCTGCTAACTTGAAGTGGCTGGAGTGAAACACATGAATCAGAACTGAGTTGATTGATTTGTACAATCGACACTTATCTCTCTTTCAGACAACAGCGTCGGCAGATACAGAGGAAGTGACTTCACATTTTATACAGGTAACTATGAGTGCAGATTGTGTGACACACACGGCCCAGTCACAACAGCAGCTCTGTTACTGCAAACATTTTCCTCTTGTATTTGCCAGTGGTAACTCTACTTCTTCCTTGTTGGAAACCAGACGCATAGAAAACTCAGTGGCTGGTGGACAGCGACTTCAAGCTGGCAGTCCAACTACTAAAACCTGCCACATTTTTTATTTAGCTGACACTAAACTGGCACCATTGTGCTGTGTGAGTCAGAGACACATGACTTCCAAGTGTATTACATTTTGGTTCAGACAGTTGTACCCTCCTGTATTTCCTAATCTCTTTCTCCTCTTCCAACATTTTTATGGCTGGAAATCCAGTAAACATAGGGTCCGAAAATATTCCGTAATGTGTGTTGAACCTTTACGTTCCGACATATCCTGGAAAAGCTGGAAATTTAGAGACTAGTTTTCGAGTCATGGAAACACTTGGAAACTGATTAAAATGACCAAATTAAATAGTATTTTAGTTCCTCACTCAGATTACATGAACCTGGGTGTTTGAAACCCAACTGTTGGTCAGATAATCAGTGCACTTCTGCTCCCATGTCAGTTAAGAGCTGTTCACACCACTTGCAGCAACTTTTGCAGTCAAATGACGTCATGATGTATGTTATAAACAGTCACATCTACAAGCATCCAGCCTGTTATAAATGATCCAATTCACATGTGTTGTGGTTGGTAATTGTTAATTGTACATGCAACAAACACTTTTTTCTACCTCTTCTTTTAATAGGTGGGAAGATTAATTATTTTTTATTTATTTGAACTGTTATTTAAGGGTTTTGGTTAAATAAATAAATGAAAACTGCTCCCCTGCCGAGGCCCCACTAAAGAATCTGCTGTGGTAAGAGCAGCCAAGCTTGACATGAAAGCGAGCTAATGCAGAGTGACCACAATTGTAGGCAAGTGCAAACAAATAATAATAAACCAAAAAAAATAATTTCTTAAAAAGAGTGGGAACCCTGTAATTAGCAGCAAGCTCACATGGTGAGAGCGTTACTCAACACTGTCACTGTCATTGTGAGCATGTTAGCCTTTAGCTCAAAGCTGCTAATGGACACCTCTCTCTCTCTCTCTCTCTCTCTCTCTCTCTCTCTCTCTCTCTCTCTCTCTCTCTCTCTCTCTCTCTCTCTCTCTCTCTCTCTCGCTCTCTCGTACAGCCCCCTGTGTGCCTCTCGGTCGACGCAGATTCAGCTCCTATGAGGAATAGTGGGAATGAGACCCTAAACTAAGGACATTGCTGATGCAGCACAGCTGTGGGATCCACCTGTGTGCCAGGTGCCAAGAGACCTGAATCACCCTGGTGTGCAAACAGCTTGAGGCTCACATTAAGAAGGATAACTCTCTAAGGTGACACTTGACTTCAAACTTGAAGTTGAGGCGTGAGCATAAACAAGCTGCAGCATGCCGGTTCATTCATCTGTACTCATCATGATGAAAAAGGTATTCATTACACTGAGGACAGTTAAAGGGACACAAAGGGGAATGTCAGACCACCCATTCCAGTCCTGTGCTACTTGTCTGAACCAAATTTTGAGGGATTTGTTTGTGTAAATGGTACAGGAATTATCACTTTATCTTCTTGTTGAGCTTTGTATAGAACACGGCAGAGCACTCACATGTGTGTACAGCTTTGTGTTTTCAAAAACATTTGTAAAAAAACAGTTGTCAAATATAGTACTGCTGTTAGTAGGTTTTTGTTTTATATGCATGGAAGACATTGGACACGATATCGAGGCTAACTAGGACAGACAGGACCTGACTGGCTCATCTATATTTCTCAATATAAAGACAGAGCATAAATGTTACTCACTAGCTTCGTCTCATCCTCCTGTTCAGTCCTGTCTCAATCCAAAAAGCATAGGTGTAAAGTAAGTTGCACAAGAAAATAATAAGAAAATATTTTCACCTTATAAGATTTTCCACTCATTGGATTTCTTCTCAGTGAGCCATTGGAATTTTCTGCTAAAAACAATGTTTATTTTCTGAAAGAGATAGATCACCTGCTGAAGGTCCTCTCAACCCCATAAAAACACAGGTGTTTATTGGTAGCTCATGTCTTATTTATTTTTTTCATTGCATGCATTGAATTTTATCAAGTTAAAATAAAGAAATGCAATTTGAAATGCATATTCGGTTGAGTTGCTCAAAGACTTACCGGATTACAGTCTAGAGCCATAGATAACTACATACCTTGACATGCTAAGCTAACTCTGCTGTGTGTGATCAAATGAAAGTCCATTCCACTGCATTATTCACAGTTTTTTATCAGCTGTGAAACAAGCTGTAGAAAAAGGTATTTAAAACGTCATTATTCTGGACAGGTTTTTGTGTTTTATATTCTAAATAGAGGATCCACTACTCCTGATATATTCTTTGGACTTCTACATGCTGTTGACAGCTGATAGTAGCCTTCAATAATGGTAAAATACCAGCATTTCATTTTGTGTTACATCCCGTCTGCCTCATAATATTTGGAGGAACGCCCTGCCCTGTCTTTCTTGCAAGTGTAATGCCTTGCTTTTATATTTTTTTAAGTCGTCCGTTTTATTTATGGTGGTTTTTAACAGTCCAAAATAGGACAATGTGCACATTGTGAGGTGTTGTTTTATACATGCAGCTATTATGAATGTACCTGTACTTTCTACTTAATTGTGAATAATAATGTACAAACTTTAGTGAGAAAGCTGAGAAGGCCCTGGAGGCAGCACTGACCACATTGGTTGAGATGAATTTCAATGGCTGGAGCCAATACATAAATCATAAGGTCAGAAATGAATTTTAAAAAAGTCAGTTTACCCGAATCTCCGTCCACTAAGGTTTAACTCTTGCAGTTGTTCCATGATGGATATTTCAGAGATAAATTGTATTGTCCTACATCATGGTGTGAATAGGAACCAGAACATTAAAGCTATGCCTGTATGTTAGTATTATTTAAGGCCTGTGGCATGTTTGTAATCTCTGTATTCTGTAAAAAATGTTTCCTTGCCCATGGTTCAACCTACTATGTGTGTTTATGTGATTGTAGCTTCTATCCAACTATTTTTTGTAACGTTCATTTTTGTTTCTAGAAAATGAGACTGTAGTGCAGTGGGTTGCAAACATATTCACTCCCCTCGGCATTTTTGCTATTTTGTTGCTTTACAACCTGGCAAGCTCAGCACATCTAGCCACTGGGATTCTTCTTGAAGGCAAAACTGCCCCAGCTCCTTCAAGTTGGATGGCTTCTACTGGTGTACAGCAATCTTAATCATATCACAGATTCTCAATTGGATTGAGGTGTGGGCTTTGACTAGGCCATTCCAATACATTTAAATGTTTCCCCTTAAATCAGTTGAGTGTTGCTTTAGCAGTACACTGCAGGTTATTGTCCTGCTGGAAGGTCAACCTCCGTCCTGGTCGCAAATCTCAATGGCTTTATTCTGGCCACTCTTTCGTTATGCCCAGATCTGTGGATCCTATGGACAGATACTCCAATCTCTGCTATGGAGCTTTGCAGCTCCTTCAGGGTTTTCTTTGGTCTCTTGGTTGCCTGTCTGATTAATGCCCTCTTTGTTGGGTTTGCTGTGGTCCTATATTCTTTCCATTTTTTAAAAATGTCTTCAATGGTGCTCTGTGGGATGTGCAAAGTTTTGGATCTGTACTTCTCCACAACGTTGCCCCTGACCTGTTTGTTCTTCATGGTGTTGCAGACTCCTGGACCTTTCAGAACAGGTCTATATATATATATATATATATACTGAAATAATCTTATAAAGGAGTTCAGTCTAGACCTGCTCTATTTGAAAAGTGTCCTGAGATAACTTCTGTTATGAATTGGCGCTATACAAATACAATTGAATTGAAATGAATAGATCATGTGACACTTAGATTGCAGACTTTATTTAACTAATTATGTGACTTCTGAAGGTAACTGGTTGCACCAGGGTCTTGATGGCAATGAATGCACCACTTTTCCATTATATTGTAGATTTTTTTCTTCATTTCACTCTAGAAAATTTGAAATATTTTGTGTATGTCCATTACATGAAATCCAAATAAAAATCCATTTCAATTCCAGGTTGTAAGGCAACAAAATAGGGAAAATCCCTAGGTCCTTTTTCTTTTGGTACTGGTGGGCACTGAACTCAGAAATCTTTCAATTCTAAACCAGTACCTTTACATTGGGCATCAACATAGCTCAACAAATAAAGGCTTTCTATTCTGATGTTGCTTGTTAGGTGGTCACACACACGTGTTTTGAAAGCAGTGCGTAGCAGAAGTGCAAACAAAGTGCAAGCATACAATGCATTTGGTGCCTTTGTTTCGGGCAGTGGTAAGATAATGCTTGGGTGTGAGCAATCGGCAAAAGTTATTACATGAATTGTTTGTCCTGGTAATGAAAAATTATTTTAACTCATTAAACCTATATGACAGATCTTTTGATATGTTGGAGCGGTGTTACGACCCAGCTCGATTTGGAGAGCGGTAACATACAATTGGAAAAGAGATGGAATACAACAATTGACAGGTTCAGGTTAAAATCAGGTGTTTTATTTAACTAAGGAGAGTGTGCTTGCACAATGAAATATAACAAAAGAGAGGCTATACAGGTGCTGACAAATAACTAGTACACAAAATGAAAATGACTGGATAACACTGAACAAAAAGAGATCAGCACCCATAAGCTTACAAACTAGTGAACAAAAACCAAACTAGCAATTATTGAGCAACTTAAAAAGGTCACAAAAGATTACAAAGGCACAGGCTGAATCCACTCAGATAACAGCCAGGCAATACTAGAAAGTACAGACACTCTAAACTAACACAATGGTGTGCAACCAACAGCAAGGCGAACTGATCACTAGTTCACAGCCGCCCTGAACTGTGGACACACAAGCTATTTAAGTGCAGCTGGGGTTGATTGAAGACTCCTGATTGGTAGCTTCAGTGGAATTGCAGCCACACCAATCACTGATGCCAGGGGACAGCAACCAGGAAGTAGGCGGGCTCTGCTCCAGAAGGACCAATCCTCAACAGGGAGTCACACATGAAACACCACAATGAATATACACTAAACGACAGCCAGCGGCGGCCGTAACAGCGGTCAAGCTGTAAACACAACAATGACTTTTTTTAAATAATCCCTTATAAAAATACTGTGAACGAGCTAGCAAGTCCAATATTATGGTCTCACACACATCGCAACATACCATTTCACATTTGACAAAGAACTTCTAGCTGACGTGCTACAGTACGTGTACTGTGTCTGTGTAGTGTTTGCTCTGCTTGCTCTGAACACTAAATTTACTGTCGTACTCATTACAGCGCCCATTTACCCGCTTAACATTTAAACGTAGACTAGTTCTATTTAAGGTCTGGGTATCATCAGATAATCTGTAATTAATTTGTCATTTAAAACAATAAATCTGTTTTTTGTTTACAAAAACAGTTTACTGTTGTGTCTCGTCAAGTTTGTTAAGTTTAGTCATGTTCATGTTAAGTGTTTTCTTGTTAGTCCTTCCTGTTTTATTTTGTACTCACCTTTTCCCTCACTGTTCAATCCTGACCTCCTCCCTTTGTGGGATTCCCCCCCTTTGTAATTGTCTGCCCCACCCCTGATTGTTTTCACCTGTTCTTACTAACACATGGTATAAATAGTCCTTGTCTCCCTTTGTCTTTGTCAGTTCGTCTTGTTCGGTAAGTCAGTGAGTATTGTCAAGTGTTGTAACTCAGAGTCCAGGTTATTCCATGTACCAAACAAAGATTAGGTTTTTGTTTGCATTTTTCTATCTCTCCACCTCTCCATCTATCTATCGTAGTTCCTAGTTCCTGTGCACAACAAAAAACAAAACTGGATTCGGATTTCTCGTTTTTCATTTGGAAGCAAAAAACAAATAGACCACATGACTTTTCTGTTATGAAACAAAAAAAGATTTATTGTTTTTCCCTTTTTAAATGACATGAATTACAGATTATCTGATGATACCCAGACCATTTAAGCACATGGAGATACTTCCTCCTTTTAGTGACTTTACTAAATTATACAGTTCTTCACACGTTAGCAACAATAGCATTAGGAGTTAGCCATGGCTTCTCCTTCTCTAGAGATAGATCCGCGATAGTTAGCCGGCCCCCAGTAGTCGTTGGGGCCAACCCAGTGTAGCCTCTGCTAGCCGTCCCCCAGCGGTTCCTGGGCAGCCGGAGTAGTGATGGTAGTTCCGGTTCTTTTTAGTGAGCCAGATCATTTGGCTCAGCTCACCAAGAAGCTCTTTTGGCTCCGAAACAGCTCTTCATTTTACCACTTATACCTTTTATAATTCAGCAAAATGTAGCACGGTTTTGACTTATGATGTGTATGTGTACACATATATCGCTTAAATTATTCAGTACATCCTTTGTACTCAAGTATTCAATAGTAAAAATTACATTTTCTAATATCAATAAATTGTTCAATCAATTCAATTTACAGACCCTTGTAACTCTCTGAAACCACCCAATGAATGCACTAACTTGCTTGTAGAACCACTCTGCAACACAAAGCAGATAGAAACACCTCTACAAACTTAAGCAGCAGTAAAAAAAAAAAAAAAAGGTACATTTTTATTTAAACAACAAAACAAGTAAAGTACTGAAAAAAAGTAAATGAAATACAGGACTCAAGTAAATGTGCTTTGTTAATGGCCACCACTGACATCTGGACAAATAAAACCAACTGCATGCATGGAGAACCCACAGCACGGAGATCATCATATCAGTCTACCTTGTATTACTTTACTTTAATAAAACGGCTCGCGACCGGGAGCCGGCTTCCATCGTTACTCCGGCTCTTTCGCATCTGACACATCACTTGTCGGAAGAAAGCATAAACCCTGGCAGCAGAAGCCCACGGTTCCCCACCAACAGGTTCATGTTTCAAACAGATTTCCCCCACTCAGTGACACACCTGCTGAGAAACCAACTCTGGTTATTGGCAGCTCAATAGTCAGGAACGTGAATTGAGCGAAGCCAGCGACAACAGTTAAATGTATCCCTGGGGCCAGACCGGGCGACATCGAATCATATTTAAAACTGCTGGCTAAAGATAAACGTTAATATAGTAAAATAGTTATTCACGTCGGCGATAATGAAGTCACAAAAATTAATGTGGAGTCGGTGTGTAACTATGCTAAAACAATGTCGGACTCCATAGTTTTCTCTGGACCCCTGCCCAATCTGACCAGTGATGACATGTATAGCCGCAAACCTGACAATCCAGAGTTGGGACCAGGAAGCAGAGCTGTAATCTTACACACTTCTCTGCGCTTCCATTAGAACAGTTACCCACCCAAAACCCCATAGAGACTGTCCTCTATGGAAGCCCATTTCCACCAATGTGACAGAAAAAAAAAAGGATTCTTTAAATCATTATAATGAGATACCTTCGCATTATTTTGACTTAGTATCTCATTTTTTTTGACTTAGTATCTCATTATTCTGACTAAGTATCTCAAAATAACAAGAAACTTCAATATTCAAATTAGGCCTACCATCAGGAAGAGGATGTTTGGTTTCTGTCACTGCTATCAGAAAAAGCTTAACTTAAGATGTTAGCTACATGAAGGTAGGTATTGTGAAAATACTTAATAAATGAATGACAGAATGTAGTAATATAATGTTAAATGTTGTTATACAGATATTATTCAGATCAGTTTTTTAGAACGCACCATGTGGGTGACAGGCCATTCTACCAAATGCAGAATGGCATATATTATATTATTATATATTCTTATAGTTTTCAACTGGACTTTTCTGGGCCGTTTTGGTTAAATAAAGTATTTATGTTTCAAAGATCAGTCTAATCCATTGTTGCAGTACACAGGCTACTGTATCAGTAGACTGAGACTGTGCCTGCCATTTGAATGATTGAAGTGATTTTATGAAGTATAAATAACTTATATACAGGTAGGTGATCCTTCTTTCTTTTGGCTTTCGGGTCATCCAGGTTTTTTCTTAACTCATCTGCATTTAGGGCCAGATTTAAAAGAGTTGCGACATGGAAGTGCATATGTCACATATGGCCACAATATGCTCTTGTGGACATTATCTTATTTAAAGGCAATACACCTAAACTACTGCTAACTACAATGTGTGCATAATCCCTACATTCCCTTATAAGCATCTGGCTGTGTAATTGCTTATTACACTGATTGTGTTTATGTACACAGGTTGAATATGTAACCATCCTGCTCTACTGTGGTTAGCACAAAATCTTTGTGAATTTGAAGGGGATCAGTGAAATACTAATTGACAATATTCCTAAAATTCCTAACCACTTATACTACTAGGTACTATTATGTGTAAATTAAACCTAACTTGGGTGTAAATGCTCAAGCATACATTCTGAAAGTCAACTCGGCAAACTGCCAACTACTGTGAGTAGGGTAGCTTGTGACTATGCAGAGATGAGTCTCAGCTTGCTTTCAGCTTTAGTGGATTGGTCATCTTCTGCAAATAAGAATAGCATGAGCTTTTTTAAATTGAGAGGTGAAAGTGCATGGTCCTTACAAAACTATACTTATTATACATTAGTAGTTAATTCTACACTGTATAATCTTTATTTGATTTTGTTATTAAATGTTATTTTTAATTTAAAATGAAGTCATCTTAAGCCTCATGACTTTATAAGAGGCACTTAAATAATTAAATAATTAAACCAGCAGCTTTACTGTGTCATGGCTCTGCTCCCCTCCTGCTCCCTTTGCTCCTCCTCCTTCCCTGTGTGTCTGATGAGGGTGCGGCCTCCATTCTCCTCACCTGCTGTCTGCTGTCTCACCTGCTCTCAAGCATTCATCATGCCTCAGTCTTCAAGAACCCCGGTCTTCCTCCCAGTCATCGCCAGATTGTTTCAGCCTATGTGGTGGTAAATCTCGTGGCTCCCTTCAGTATTTAGTTAAGTGATTCAAGTTCTTTTGTGATTTTCCCTGTGTCTGCTCACCTGTGCCTCTGTGTCTCCGGTCTCTTTCGCCATTTCACCCGCCCGTTCCTGCTGTGGCTGCCCCTCATCCCCCCTGTGTGTGTGTGTGCGCGTGGAATAAAACCCCTTTAAACCTTCCATACTGTCTGGGTGTCTGCTCCTGGGTCCGGTCCTAACACCAGCCGCGACATACTGACCAATTTGCTCTACATAAATTGGCACAATATCATAGATTATTCACCTTGAAAAGTTCATCATGCAAATTTTCAGAC